TGGGAAGCAATAGTAGAGTTGAAGAAACGATTTTTAAAAAATCCTCCTCTCGGGGGTGATAGGAGTGAAAGTTGGTATGAAAATTTATTACTGCCTGGCATAGAAGTATACTATTTTTACAAAGTTTTCTTAAGTAACCTAATAGATCACCAAGAGATAATTTTTGTAAATTTGTCTTCTAACGGCATTAAATTAGGGGTAAAATTTCTTTACATTTTTTTTTGTATAGGAGTAAGAAATTTTGCATAAAAAATTCTTAAGTGACATACTCCCTAGGGGCACCTATTAAAAAAAACATAAGTTACCCATGCTAAAGGGTTTTAATTAGGGGTGATATTTGTGTGTCTAAACGTCGTTATTACCTGGTCTAGAAATATGAAATTAATATAATATAATTTATTATAATTTATTTATATAATATATTTAATGAGCAGTAAAAGGCGACTTTTACCTCGGGTCCTTGGGTGGTGATTTAAGGGATGAAAAATCTACATCTAGATGGTGTGAATATGTCATGTATGTCACATGTATAAATTGATGGATCTTCATTTTCAAGCCAACTCTGAAGCCGTGTTCCCGATCATATGTTACATTTATGCGTATTTTCTTAAAATAAAAAACATAAAAACTCATCGCATAGGTATGTACTTAATAAGTCGATTATTTAATTGAACGGTATGTCTATTTAAATTCGCTTTCTTTGTATCAGAAAATCTAGGTATTTTCGGAAAAACACACACAGTTTTTGATACAATTTAGTCCTAGAAAATCTAAAAAATGTATCTTCTTCAGTGTTTAGTGAAATGTTTTCTCATCCATTGAAAGCACATTTTTTTAAAAGCATTTTAAATAAAATCAAAAACGATAACAAGAGACTTAAACTGAATAGCTGAATTTAAAACTAAAACAATACTAAGAACACCGTGAACTAACTAAATGTAAACCAACAAAACCCAACAGTAAATTAAAATCGGAAACATCTAATAATAATTGTAATTATTTATCATTATCCAGAAGAAAGCGCCAATAATATAACATTTAATTCTCACTTAAAAAATGTTCAAACTGGCAATCTCGCTTTGACTTTATAAACGTGCGGCTGGCGGCGGCTGTTGCGACGGGCAGACGAGACGGCGCGGTGTATCAAAGGCAAGGTTAAGGCGAGAAAGAACGAAAGAAATGGAAGCTTAGGGAAGGGAGGAGTGCGGGACGATTTGAAATCACCACGACTGTTTGTTTGGTTGAATATTTTGCCTTCATCGTTGGTATCGCCGCTCTGGCGTCGCACTTCCGAACATAGGTCTTTTTGAATACAAAATTTCCCATAAGGTGTCGCATCTGTTTAAGTTAGTTTGTGGTATGGCTGATGTCGAGGATGGAGAGCTGGCCTCTGTGGAGCCGTCTCAGATACTAGCTTTTGTTAAAGTCCTGAGATTGTATGATGAGTTATAACTCGTTATAACTCAAGAAAGGGGAACACACAATAGATCTATAAGGTCGCGGTGATTAACTCCCCTCCGAAACATTCTACATTCTAGGCAAATTTGTTATACTTTTGTAAATGTCATACTAGAAAAGCGCACTGAAAAATTGGTTTCCGTTTGGACTCAACGCAGTGGTGTTTTGTGATTTAATAATTACTAAAATTTCGTTTCTAAACAAATATCTTAATAATCCTAAGAAGATAAAAAAGTGATTTAAACTTTTAAACCTCTCCCAAATAAATTAGTCTGATATAATTAGTAGTTTAGAAATATGCTTATTTGAGTATTAATTAATTACTATTAATTATTACTATTACTATTAAGTTCGGCTCTATTCACACAAATAAATATAATATTATTAATTAACAAAATAATAAATGTTAATTAGAATAAGACAAAAATGTTATTAAAAAGCTGAAACAACATTAAATGTATACAGGGTTAGTTTTCTACGATCTTCTCTATGGGTCTCTCGAAAACTACTGGAGGTAGGAAATCGGTTAAATGAGGAAAGAATTGCAGTTTTGTGGGGTTATAAATATGCGCCTTTCAGATTTTTTAAAACGTTCATGACTTACTAGATATTTCGAATTCAAATTTCGGCTATTTTAAAAATTGTCCCTAATTCCATTATAATCTATTTTAGATAAAAAGTTTTCAGATAAAAGTTGTAGATAATCACACCCTTAATGAGATTGTATTCTTCGTTTCTTTTTCTAAAGCCTGTCATTTTTGGCATATATGACACAAACATATGTTTTTTTAATGGAAACGTGGCCATGACTTCATTTCTTAAGCTTTTTTCAGCAATATAAATTATAATATGTTTCTCCAGTAGTTTCCAAGATACCCATAGAGAACATAATAAAATAAAAAAATAAAATAAATAAATATAATAAAATATATATAATAAATATAATATAAAATATATAATATAATAAAATAAAATATAAATAATAAAATATAATAAAATAATAAAAATAAAATAAAATAGAAAAAATATGTATAATAAAATGATCAAATATTTCAAATATCCATTGTTCTATGTGAAGTCCAACGAATTAAAAGTTAATTTCAAGACCATGAGTTTGTGAATCATTAAAGATGATAGAGTTTGTGATATACAGGGTGTTTCAAAACAAATGCGAAAAACTTTAGGGGGTGATTCCTTGTTCAAAATAAAGGGTAGTTTGCTTTATAAACGTTGGGTCAAAAGTCAACCATTAGGGAGATATCGCGGTACAAATATGGCGGAAAAATAATGTTTTTATTTTTTATCTTGAAAACGAAAAGAGATAGACTAATGAAATTTTATGGAAGGATTACAGTTATGGAAACACACTTTCAGGTATTTTTTTACTTTTTTAAAATGAGTGGAAGAGGTTAAAATAAACTACCCCTATCATTCTTGTTAACGAAATTTAAAGAAAAATCTTATCAAACACATGCAAATGCTCTAATTTGGATAGATTAGTTTGTTTAGAAACTTTTTTACCTCTTGTGTTTTTTTGATAAAACTCACCGATTGGAAATTAAAAAATAAAATGTAAAACATTACATGTCAGGACAAAAAACATTTTTAGATTAAGAATCTAGTGATAATAACGATAATAATAATCATCTAGATAATAACGTATTGCAGTAGAGTAATGTCAAATAAAATATTAGGATCCTAAAAAGTAACAGCGGCTGACTAGATTTTTTCCTAAAAAAATTACAGCAGCCCATTAGATTCTTTATCAGAGTGTTTTTTGTCCTGACATGTAATGCTTTACATTTTATTTTTTAATTTCAAATCGGTGAGTTTTATCAAAAAAATACAAGAGATAAAAAAGTTTCTAAACAAACTAAACTATCCAAATTAGTTTTTTTGCATGTGTTTGATAAGATTTTTCTTTAAATTTCGTTAACAAGAATGATAGGGGTAGTTTATTTCAACCCCTTCCACTCATTTTAAAAAAGTGAAAAAATTACCAGAAAGTGTGTTTTCATAACAGTAATGCTTCCATAAAATTGTATTAGTCTATCTCTTTTCGTTTTCAAGATAAAAAGTAAAAACATTATTTTTCCGCCATCTTTGTACCGCAATATCTCCCTAATGGTTGACTTTTGACCCAACGTTTATGAAGCAAACTACCCTTTATTTTGAACAAGGAATCACCCCATGAAGTTTTTCGCATTTGTATTAAAACAGCCTGTATAAAAAATCTATGACAAAATATTTATAAAATGCTACTCGTATATTTTGTAATTATGAATATATCTAAAAAACCTGGATACTTTGTATTACAGGGCATAGCAACGATCTAGCCAAGTTAAAACACCTGCTTCCAATCACTGATGTTAAGCGACGTTAAGTTCAGTCTTTCGAGTACAACTGTTACAAAAAAATAAAATAATAAGCATCAAATAATCACTGAGCGTGATTTGCAGTTAAATAAAATTTCTAGAAGCACACCACTTAAATTCGTAAAAGGGTATTTATTGCTAATAAAATTGACATTTCAAATAATAATGAAACAAGAAACACCGTGTGAAATACATTTCACATTTAAAAGGCCAATAATACTTTACTTCCATATTTACATCTTGCATGTTCTTTTCTAAGGATCTTTATTTTGTTGGAAACATTAAATAAAGAAAAAAGGATTCAGTTTTTCCATTTATAATTTCTCTCATGATAAAAAACTCGATAGTACAAAAAAATGTTTCAACAAAATTCGAATCCTTCTTAACGTAATATTGTATCTATGCCTAAACTTCCCCAAAACAATTAAATTATTAGAAGTTTATGTATCAAAGCTGTGAGAGTTATAACAAAATTAGTTATGATAATACAAAGATAATCTTGTAGACATTGGTCCAATTCAATATTTAACGTCAGTAATATATTGGTTTGTCTGTTTCCGATAAATTCAATCTTATATTCGGCCTTATTATTCATTACTATCCTAGAAATTTGAATAATATTATGTATATTTAAAACAAGCAAATGGAAGGAAATAAGAGAATAATAATATGATTTAATTTTGTTCCATGCCAAAACCAACTTATTGTTTATATACTCTAGTTAAAATTTCAAAATATAATTAAAATTGTTATTTATAACCATTGCATTTTAGGATTGATTTTAAAGGTACATTCCTAAAAAAATTCCTATAAAATATTACGTTTTATATTTTCTAGTGTAATAGTGCCTACAATCCTTCAGTCAATGACTCTTAAATATTTATCACGCTAATACAAGATTGCAAAACTTTCTTTTACTATTTCTATTGCATTCTAAAGTAATCGAACTTTAAACTTGTTCTTCAACAAACTGAAACTCGAAATAAGAGTAAACAAGGCTTAATTTAAAATTTCAAGTGCTTCTAAACGAGAAAGAAATTTAGTAGATTCCGAAACACAGTCTCTTAGGAACTAAGTAGGAATACTTGTATTTGTAAGTGCCAAGATTATAAATAGTTTCTTGCTTGTAATTTAAAACGTGCTTTATGAACATTTTCTAACACATACCGTGAGAAATAACTCCTTCTTCTAATAAAGCCTGCCACATTCCGGCTGCTTGAGCTCTGGCGTGTATACTGGGCGATAAACTTATAAGCCAGTCGACTAATTCTGTTCCAGGTGCGCATCTCCTGACCAGTCTTCCTGATACTTTTCGATCCTTAAGGCAAGTGTTTTGTGCTGCAAAATAAAAATAAACTATAGTCTATTATTATTATTTTCTTATATTTATATTTAATATATTACTACTACTACTAAAACTACTACCATTACTCGCTGATGAGTATTTGATATGCGTCAGAACATGGTTACGCAGGCCGTTTTCATTTATGAGTTTTTCTGTGATTGAAACGCCCGATACGTAATGTTATCTCCTCTTCCGCACTCCGGATATTCGAAAATCTCTCTTTACTTTTTGGTTGTCGTTATTAACTGAGTTTACAGTTCTTACGCCTCTACGTTCTACTTCCTTCCTCCCCTTACCGTCTACAAACTCGCCGTAAAGAAGAGATTTTGGTAGACGGTAATCTTGCATCCTGCATACGTAACCAGCCCAGCTGAAGCGGGATTTAGTAATCATGACTTCGGCCCTCTCGTAGCCAGCTTTTTTAATGATACGTTTGAAACATGGTGGAACTATTTGATTCTTAACAGTTGCCTAAGTTGTCCCTGTTGCAATTTGTTTAATGTGTTCATGTGCCGGCGGTACGGTACCCAGTTTTCGTTTCCATATAACATGGTGGGAATTATTATTTCTCGGTACACTGCAAGTTTTGTTTTTGTGGTTACAGATCTTTTTTAGTTTAGTGTCTCCAGTGTCAGATCAAATAGTCCAAAGTATTCTCAAACTCCCTTAGAATTAGCACTGTTATTGATGACACGTCGCGACACGTCAGAACATCATTTTCGAGAATTTTCTCACTGTACAGGGTGGGTCAAATTCAACGCTTTTAAATGGAAACACCCTTTTCTATAGGAGATAGACAAAAACTAATATCGGTGTCTGGAGCTCAATTTTTGTCAAAAACATGATGGTGAAACCCGCATATCGATATCTGTTACCGTTTCGGAGTTACGGGGTGTTTTTCAAAAATATGCATTTTTAACAAATCACTGTAACTTTTTTGCTATGGAAAATTTTGTATTTTTATGAAAACATTTCCAAAGCACCTTTTACGTAGAATTTAATGGTTTAAGTATAATTTTTTTAAAATTAATAATTTAAGAATTATCAACAGAAAATTTGATTTTTTATATGGGACACCCTGTATATTTTTAATTTATTGAAAAGGATTTAAAATTACCTTTCCAAACATATAACACACTTGATATTTTGCTCGATTCCTCTTCGAGATATAGAGTATATAAAAATTTACCCGCTTTAAATAAGTAGGCTTTGAACGGCACCGGCTGTAATGCAAAAAAAATTCTAGCTGTGAGCATCAATTAAAACGAAAATAATATTTGCTATGAGAGATGCAGAATTTTATAATAATTTAAAATATATTTAACCAACATCAACACATTTAAACTATATCTAATAACAATAAAAATAAATAGCAAACCAAGACATGAGATTTTGCTACAGGTGTTCGACATATTAACCTTATATCTGTTATAGACAGACGGGGCAGTTTTTGAACATTCCTCGCGGAATTCATTAACTCAGTGGGGGTGAAAGATACCCTTTCATAATTAATACTAAGTATTTTTAATTCTTGTCTAGATTATACGGAAGAATAAGGAACCTTTATTCGCAAATATATCCATAGGATTAGATCCATGGGCTCTAAGTCAGGCGGCCTCGACGGCCAACGGCTGGGATCTTGGTTAGCAAAAATTTGCTAATAACTTCAGCGTTCAGAGGCGGTGCGTCGTCTTGCTGGAAAAATATGTTTTCGAGTTCCATTAAGGGCATATCATCAATAAGGGGTCCAAAGCCTACTAATTAAAAGTGGCAAACTTTTAAAAACACTGTATTTCGAAGGGGATTATAACAAAATATCAAGTATGCTATATTTTTGGAAAGGTAATTTTAAATTCTTTTCAGTTAATTAAAAATATAGAGGGTGTCCCAAATAAAAAATCAATTTTTCTGTTGATAACTCTTAAATTATTAATGTTAAAAAAATTATACTTAAACCATTAAATTCTACGTAAAAAGGTGCTTTGGAAATGTTTTCATAGAAATACAAAATTTTCCATAACAAAAAAGTTACAGCGATTTGTTAAAAATGCACATTTTTAAAAATAACACCCCGTAACTCCGAAACGGTAACAGATATTGATATGCGGTTTTCACCATCATATTTTTGATGAAAATTGAGCTCCAGACACCGATATTAGTTTTCGTCTATCTCCTATAGAAAAGGGTGTTTCCATTTAAAAGCGTCGAATTTGACCCACTCTGTACAGGGTGAGTCAACGATAGAGTAAAGTCCATTATCTCATTTGTTTCGAGGTTTACAAAAAAATATTAAATATAAAAGTTATAGAGATAGTTAAGATACATATTTTAAAATTATTGTACAGTATACATGGTGCTTCAAAAAAGTGTGGCAAATATAACACATGTTTTTTTAAAGGCAACACCGTATTTTTTATTTTATTTTTAGATTCTTCGTAAAATTCCATAACTTTTTTATATATAATGTTATATACCTAAAATTAATAGTTTTTGTTATATTTAAATTTGTTTAAACAAATGTTAGATTGCAGTGGGTTAAAAAATTGTCAATGATGGCATTGATTCTGAACTTGGACAACTAAAATTTGGTAGGATAATTTTATAGAGATATAGAAAAAGACCTATGTAAAGATATATTAGTTAGATGTTACAGGGTGTTCAAAATATATTTAGGAATTTCAACTACTTAAAATTAAGGAATTTCAATTTTTTTAAATGGTACAGCCTATATATTATCATTTTTTCTGATAGATTTTACCAAACTCTTCAACTTTTATTAAGAATGTCATATACCTGTTTTTATTAGTTTGCGATTTATTCCAATTTTTTCTATTTTTACCCATATTTTTAATACAATTGCGCTATAACATCATAGTTACCATGACAAAAAGAAATAATTATCACAATTTCATGTCTGTTAAGCAAGTTAAGAACAAAATTAGGATTTTAGTTTAATTTGTTGTAATAAGTATAAATGGTAGAGATAATAGTTACAGATTTTCTTGAAATTAATAATTAGTCAATCTGATTGATATACACGGACAAGCTTAGAAAACCACATGTTTTGGTTATTTAGGTTTACCTAACTACTATAAGGATAGATGTATATTATCTAGAAAACATCTTCAGTGTGTAATGGGACGGTTTCGCGGCAGTAGTAATATTGGTTTTACCAAATGAATTATAAATCAGAATTACTACGAGAAAAAACTTTACTGTATGTCGAAGAAAATTCATATATCAGTAGTCTTCAGCAATTAGGTAATCTAGTATTATCCTAATCTGTGGCTATTCGCCCCGACGAAAAATCCCAAATGTCATCTTTCATAATATAGAAATACACCAAGAAATTCACTACTGCGATTTAGTTTATTTGAGTAAAGTTAATTAATTTTAACTAAAACCACCAATTGTAACTAATTATGAAGCTACCTGTTAAAGGTAAGTAATAAACAGTTTTGTTTTGTCATGGCAACTATGATTTTATAGGGTGATTGTATTGAAAATATGGGTAAAAATAGAAAAAATGGGAATAAATCGCAAACTATTAAAAATAGGGATATGACATACTTAATAAAAGTTGAAGAGTTTTGTCAAATCTATCAGAAAAAATAATAATATATAGTAAATAATAATAAAAATTTGAGATTTTTTAATTTTAAGTAGTTGAAATTCATAAATATATTTTGAACACCCTGTATCATTTAACTAAAATATCTTTACATATATCTTTTTTTTCATCTCTATAAAACTCTCCTACCAAATTTTGGTACTCCAACTTCAGAAACAATGGCACCACTGACAATTTTTTACCACACTGCAAATTTTAGATATATAACATTATATATAAAAAAGTTATGGAATTTTACGCAGAATCTAAAAATAAAATAAAAAATAGGGTGTTGCATTTAAAAAAACATATGTTATAGCCGCTACACTTTCTTGAAGCACCTTGTATACTCTATAATAATTTTAAAATGTGTATCTTAACCATCCCTATAAGTTTTATATTAAACATTTTTTGTAAACCTTGAAACAAATGAGATAATGGACTTTACTCTATCGTTGACTCACCCTGTACAGACTACATTATGCATTATATTACAATAGGCATGTTCCAAAAAATATAAATTCGCAAATAAATCATTGTATTGCATAGATTAAGTCTTCATTACTTACAATACATAGGAAATTAGGAAAAATTCCATGATATCTTTTTAGAAATTAAATTATAATTTCAAACTTGAACATTTCCGGTTGAGTTGTGACGTACATAGCCTTCGCCAATCACGTTTCAAATCAGAAAAGGAAATTTCATATCATATGTTGGTACGACTGATTGCCTGGCTATTGCTTATCGGGCGCAGCCATTTTGGATTTTGTTATTATTTTTCTTCGTGCTTTTCAGTTCAGCGGTAAATTTTCTTGGTTATAACTTTTAAATTTATCTAAATGGCTCAAAACTATGAAAAAGTTTTTTCGGATAATTTTCGAATGGTGACGGAGTATATGGTGGACAGTTTTTATATAGACAATTTAAAATACTAAAGTGCTCAAATAAAGAAGTTAAAATGTCAAGGTGAGATTTTTTTCCTTGAAAAAGTTATTTAAAAGTAATAAAACCATTATTTAATATACCATAACTGTGATTTTCGGCAAATACTATTAATCTTGTTATGAGGAATTACATTTTTTTCAAATTAATTTTCCTCCACCTTCTTTCACATGTAAAAAACAGGCCATTAATGATTTAACAAATGAAACATAATATAAACTCACTTTGAAATGCTTTGAATTCACATTCATAGCTTAAGAGAAGTTTTCTGAAAAAAAAGCATTTACGATTTTCCATCTTTTTCGGCGCGTACAAAAACATTTTATTACAGTTAAAATGTTATCCAACAATGGAACAATTAATCTATTAACATTATTGAAAATAGTTTATAATTAAAAAATAAACAATAATTTTAAACAATGTCATTTTGACATTGTA